GCTTTTTTGAGTAACCGACACCTCCCTAAAAGTACCTACGCTTTTAACATATTTATCTTACATTTTATGATATATTTTATGACGCATACCCTCATCCTCCCCCCCTCCCTGGATCCTGTCATTGTTTGGAACATGGAAGTTGTTTTTTTGAAAATCAAATAGGGTATTTATGGTTAATTTCTGTAAAAGAAGAATCAAATATTTTAGGAGACGAATCATATTTTGTTTTATGCATTAGCTGTAAAACAAGATGAATGTTTAGTTTAAAAATATCAATTGCACCTAATTCTTCCGTATATGAGGTTCTGAAGGAACTGCTCATGTATTTTTTGAAAGAAGTTAGATAAGTATAGAATGTTGAAGAACTTAATAGGATATTTTCTGCTAAATTAGAGCATACATAAATAAAAAAAACTGTTTAGTTCCTCGCTTATGTTTTTTAGTCATAGCTTGATTTTAGATCAACTACAGGTTATTTTGGCAGTGTATTTATCCTACATTTATTTATACCAATACACAGGGTCAGGAGGTGGACAAAAGTAAAATAAAAAAATAAAAACACATTCTCAAAAGATACATTATTATTTGCCATTTTATAGCTTAAGCATTCAGCTTTTATAAAATGAGTACATTTTTGTTTAATTTTTATCTAGTATGGGACAGGATTGAAAAGTCATTTTTTTTAATTTTTAAAGGAATGACCTTTATAAACTAAAATGATAATTTAAAAAAAAAAAAATACGTTTTCAAGGGGGAAATAATATCAAAAATGCTACCTATAAAGACCAATATAGTTTCAGATAAAGATGTTGCATGTGGAACAATAACTTTTTTGTTATAGCGATTGAAACTTGTGTCACGGAAGGAACCTATCGTTCCATCCGTGACCCAAGTTTTTAATGCCTATAACTAAAAATTTAGAATTCTACTAACAATCTTTTTTTCTCAAAATTAAATAGATATTTGTAGATAGTTTGTTAGGTATTTTTGCCATTTTCTAAACGTTTTTATTTTTTTAAATTTCTAATTTAGTTTACAAAGGTCATTCCTTTTGAAAAACACGACTTTTCAATAGTGATGTGCCGGGTACCCGGTTCGGACCCGGGGACCCGGCAATTCGGCTGTTTTACCGGGTACCCGGTATCGGCTATTTTGTTGCAGTACCCGGCACCGGGTATCTTCAAATTGATTTTTCCTTTTGTTTAAACTTTAACAATTAAACTTCTTGATATAAGTCTAAGAGTGTTATGTAGTCGATAACCACAAAATTCTATTAACTTAAAACAACCTCACTTAAAATATTTTTTAATACATTTGCAAAAAAATTTATACGGATACAAAAACTGTAACGCTAAATGAAATAATTCGAGAATACGAATAAAAAGAATGGGAAAAAAAGTTTTAAAATAGCTTCTTTTTATTCTGTTAGAACACAAGATAATTTTGCCAAGTTTTTATTCCAACTTTTAAAAAATGGACTCGGTGCCGAGTACTCGGACTCGGTTTTTTCAGCCGGGTACCCGGAATCGGAGACTCGGCATAAACTGGTTCCGGCACATCTCTACTTTTCAATCCTTCTATTCTGTAGAATTTCAATCCTTCTATTCTGTAGAATTTCAATCCTTCTATTCTGTAGAATTTCAATCCTTCTATTCTGTAGAATCCTTCTAAACTGTAGAATAAAAATGTTTTTATTAAAAAAAAAACTTTCGTATTATTATTTTAACTTGATAATATTTTTTGTGTTACTAACTATGTTAGTAACAAAAAAAATATTATCAAGTTAAAATAATTATCAACAAGTAGTTGATAATTTTATCAACAAATAGTTGATAATTTTAAAACCTCTCTTTTTATTGCATAATTTATTAAAATTAATGATTATATTTCAATTTTGCTATTGCATAACTATTTTCCTTGTAATTTATGTCAAATAAAATTATTTCAAATGAGGGGTTATTTAAAGGACTTTTTTTAGTTAAAATTTCACTTACAACAGTTGAATATTTTTTCGGTCCAAGGTGGTCCAGTAATTTAAGAATTGAAATACATCATAAAATATAAAAAAGCCCTTGAACTGTATAAAAACACCTGTCCATTAGGCTGCAGCCTAAAGGCCCGTGATTTTATGGGACCCGTTATCATTTATAATCTATCAGTCAGATTCATGCTTTGATCATCTGCGATAATCATGCGAACTTTATCTTGTTCCTAAGTTGACACCCCATTTTTATTTCATAAAAATGAGTCGCATTTATATAAAATTATGTTATTAACCATAACAAATTTAAAATTTGTTATAAAAACTTGTTTTTATTTGAATAATTAGCGCAAAACAATCCATAAAATTTTATGTTAAAAGCGTAGGTACTTTTAGGGAGGTGTCGGGTACTCAAAAAAGCGTATTGCAAAATGCGGGGAGGGGGGGCTATTGTTGTTAGAAAAAAGTTATTTTCATAAAGTTATAAAATTTTTTATAAAAACTGAATAATTAGCTCAAAACAATCCATAAAATTTTATGGATTGTTTTGCATTTTTCAAATCAAAACAAGTTTTTATAACAAATTTTAAATTTGTTATGGTTAATAACATAAAAAACATTTATTTTTATTTTTTTTAATGCAATTTATTTAACGCAAAACCTCCTTATTAATAAGAGTGTTTTTAAAAACACTCTTATTAATAAAAATGTTTTGCGTCATAAAAACATTCTTATTAACAAGAATGTTTTTACAGATTATTTTGTGCTAATTATTTAAATCAAGAAAAGTTTTTATAAAAAATCTTATTTTAGTGAACTGAACTCCATTAAAACATTAAACATTGTGACCGCAGCGCTGTGTTTTGTATACAATTTAAACTGTTTAGTATTTAGCAGTTTCTCGACATCGGTGGGCATACTGCGAGTGAGATCTCTACAAGCCTTTTAACATTTATAAAAAGTGGATTTCGACATAACAAACTGTCGTGGTAAATCTTATGATAATGCCAGTAACATGTCTGGAACTTACCGTGGCGTTCAGTAAATAATAACGCTACGAAATTCATATGCTAAATACATCCCGTGCTTTGCACACTCATTGAACTTAGCAGGAAATGAAGCAGGAAACTGTATTCCACAATCATCGTCTTTCTTTGACATTATTCAGAAACTTTACACGTTTATGAGTGCTTCAACGCATCGTTGGTCTGTGTTTAAGGATAACTTGGACTTAACACTCGTTTTGAAGAGTCTTACCGAAACCA